AGAAACACCTATAATATCTCAGAAGCATGTTTGCTTTAAAGTTTTCCAAAATGCAGCTGAAGGAACAGCGGGTCAACGTTGCTGATGTAGGACTTGCAATACACAGCAATACTTTTAAAAGCCCGCTGCATTGAGGCTTATTATTTGCTTTATGAAGGAATTATTCTTGCAAAAGGATTAACGCACACGATTGTCCCAAATTCCCCAGTAGGCCATTTAGACTGTGATTTTATTTTCAGAATTCTGTGTGGATATATATATATCCCCCTCTGAATTAAAAATTCAATACTTGGGGGCTGCCTGGGTTAAATGTCTGACTTTGGCTCAGGTCATGATCTCATGGTTCGTGAGTTCGAATCCTACATCTGGCTCTCTGCTGTCAGCACAGAGCCCTCTTTGGACCCTCTGTCCCTCCCTCTCTTCGTCTCTCCTGCTCATGCACACTCACTCTCTCTCTTAAAAATAAACATTTTTTTTAAAAAAGGATAAAAGTAAACATTCAATACTTGGAAAAGAGTAAAGCTTTGCTTTTTTGTTTAATTCATTTTAATTATCTTGACACAAAACTTCTCACTCTTCCAACATATGACTATTTTTATTTACTTATTTTTTAAATTAACTATTTATTTCTTATTTATTAAAAAAATTTTTTTAAATGTTTATTATTTATTTTTGAGAAAGTGAGCACGAGCAGGGGAGGTGCAGAGAGGGAGGCACAGAAACTGAAGCAGGCTCCAGGCTCTGAGCCGTCAGCACAGAGCCCCATGTGGGGCTCGAGCCCATGAACGGAGAGATCATGACCTGAGCCGAATTCGGACGGTTAACCGACTGAGCCACCCAGGTGCCCCAATTTATTTTTTAATTTACATCCAAGTTAGTTAACATATCGTGTAATAATGAGTTCAGTACATGCCAGTGATTCGTCCCCTACATACAACACCCCAGGCTTATCCCAACAAGTGTCCTCCATAATGCCCCTTGCTCGTTTAGCCCATTCCCCTACCCACAATCCCTCCAGTAACCCTAGTTTGTTCTCTGTATTTAAAAGAACATACGACTATTTTAGAGCTTTAATAATTTCTTTCCTGTAATCTTGTAATATTTCTTATAATATGGTGGTAGAGCTGTTTTGCTGTGTAAATGTCTATAGGACAGGTATACTGACTCTCTTTAGTCAGCAAGTAATTCTGACTAAATAGGTTGAGTACAACAGAGCCCTGAATCCATTTTGCATTCAACAAATGGGGTATTATGGGGTATTTGCATTATGAGGAATGGGTAAAAGACCAGAACCAAAAACAAAAGCCACTAGTATCAGGAACCTGATTTTTAAATTTTCCTTTCAGAGTCTGTCCTGAAGCCGGTTTATAGCCAACACTCTTTCTTACACACTTTATCTACATTCGACAGCTTTGGACAATGATAATTGATATAGATATTTATGATTATTTGTTTGGTTGCAGGGAAGAGAAACCTACTCCGGTCACCTTCAGAAAGCTGTGGCTGCTGGTGAGGATGATTATGAAAGAGAACTGAACTTGGAGGGTTCAAGTTCTGAGGCAGTTCTGGGACCAGTCTTTTTTTCTTTTTTCTTTCTTTATAAGTGTTTGCTCTGCTTAGTTCTTCTCTATCAGCCACCTTCTTCCATCTCTCCTTTAAATGTTTCCCTCCCCTTCATAATTTTCACTTGCAAAGGCTTTGAAATATCCTGGGTCCAACATAGTCTTGTGGCATTACTCGTCCCACTGCCAGCTTTTCCCTTAGTCTCCTGAACTTAGTCTTCTGAACACTGAACAGAGAGAGAGGGACCCTGTTCTCTTTTGGCCAGCCAGTGGATTATATGTTCTTGGGCCAGGTATTCATCTCTGATCGAAATGGCTGTGGTCTGGGGTTGGGGTGGGGACAAGGCAGAAGGAGCTAGATTGCTTAGGCAACATGGCAGATTCTTTGGGAAGGGGGGGTGTGGGCAAGTCAGATAGTGATAGGCATCTTGAGTGAAAGGACTCTAAGGTGTGTTTCAGGATTCTGAATCCTCCTCCTCCTCATCACCATCAACACCCCCCCCCCCCACAGATGCGCACACACACACACACACACACAGTCATATTCTGTATACCATACTTAACCAAGTAACAATGCCCGTTAGTACATTTTAGGAGGAAATTTTCAATAAGCATTGAAAGATGGTTAGAAAATACTGTTACACCGTTTCTCCTGATTTCCCATGTACCTCTCTGACTATCCCTTCTTAGCCATTTTGGTGGCTTTTGTTCCTTTGCTTCTCTTGTGAACCACCAGTCTTATCCAAGCATCAGTCTATCCATCAGCTATGTAAGCTCTGAAAGATCTTATCTGCTCCTGCATTTTTATTGAATAAATAAATGATAACTCTTAAATCTTTTAAGTTCTGACAGCTCTCTCAAAAATAAACATTAAACATTAAAAAAAATTAAACCACAACTCTCTCATCTGTAGCATGGGGTAATGACCTCATGGGGGTCATTGTGAGGGAGTAGTCAGTAGTATAACACATATATGGTCTGGTATGTGGTAAGCATGCGAGTTATTTTTAGGCAACTCCTTATCATCTCTCTGCAGCACCTTGCCATAGCCTTAAACATTTTTTTAATGTTTATTTTTGAGGAGGGGGGGTGAGGGACAGAGAGAGAGGAAGACACAGAATCTGAAGCAGGCTCCAAGCTGTCAGCACAGAGCCCGATGTGGGGATTGAACCCACGGACTGTGAGATCATGATCTGAGCCAAAGTCGGACACTTAACCGACTGAGCCACCCAGGCGCCCCTTCAGTAGCCTTTTAATACATTCTCCGCCTTAAGCCTTGCCCATCTTCACTCTGATCCCAGAGGGTAAGAGCTAGAAGCAAATCTGATCAAGTCATTTCCTGCCTAAAAGCCTTCAGTGGGTCCCCTGTTCTACTGGATGAAGCCCCAGGCTTTTCACCACGCCTTCAAGGTTTTTCTCTGCCTACTCTGTTACCTCCGTCTCCCATCATTCACCGCCTTTCAGTAGTAGCACTGCTTCAGGTTTATGTATAAAACCTCACTGTCTGTTACCCCCATGCCCTTGCTCATGTCACAGACACTTCTGTTGGCAAGGTCTCGTTTGCCACTCCTTCTCAGCTGGCCCCGCCGCCATCTCCCCATCTCTCTCTTCTCCTGGCTAATTCTTTTTTTTTTATTTTTAATTTTTTAAATGTTTTTTATTTATTTCTGAGAGGGAGAGAGAGAGAGAGAGCAGGAGAGGGTCAGAACGAGAGGGAGACACAGAATCTGAAACAGGCTCCAGGCTCCGAGCTGGCTTTCAGCACAGAGGCCGACGCAGGGCTCGAACCCACGAACCGTGAGATCGTGACCTGAGCTGAAGTCAGACGCTTAACTGACTGAGCCACCCAGGCGCCCCTCTCCTGGCTAATTCTTATTCATCCTTCATTCTTCAGGACTGAACTCAGTTATCATGTTCTTTGGGACCTCTGCCCTGACTCCTCTGTGTAGACCTCACTCTTACTATAACATGGTGAATTGTAGTTTGTGTCTCTCTCTTGCTACACTCTTTGAGGACAGGACTTCATCTCTCAGTACTAAGCCTGAAAAATTAAAGTCCTCAAGTTGTACTGAAGTAAGACAGGTTCAATGCAAAATTCCCTGTATCTATGAAGCCATACTTCTATCTGTCTACTTTAGTCCAAATTTATCTTCCTCTCCTCTGTATTCCTGAGGAATGCTAATTGTTTAATCCCTAACCAGTGGGTTGTAAGCAACAGAAGAACTTGTCTTTATAAGTTCCCCCAAAGCACCCAGCACAGTAGTTTACTCATAGTGTTGCTTGAAAACACTTATTGGTTAGGGGAGCCTGGGTGGCTTAGTCAGTTGAACTTCCAACTTCAGCTCAGGTCTGTGAGTTTGAGCCCCTCGCTGGGCTCTGTGCTGACAGCTCAGAGCCTGGAGTCTGCTTCAGATTCTGTGTCTCCCTCTCTCTCTGCCCCTCCCCACCCCTCTCTGTCTCTCAAAAGTAAATAAACATTTAAAAAATTAAAAATAAACACTTATTGGTTGTTAGAAGCAAATAAAGTTTGGAGGAACTCATTCAAGGATCATGGATATAAGAATAAGCTTTAAATGGAAAAATCTATTTTATAAAATTACAAAGATATGGATCTGCACTGTCCAGTATAGTAACTACTAACCGTGTCTGTTACTTGAGTGCTTGAAATGTGGCCAGTTGAGGAACTGAATTTTAAGTTTTATTTATTTTTAATTAATTTAAGTTTAAAAACTGATACTTGGTTTAATTGTTGGAAAACTGGAAAACTATTAGGTATGTTTGGAATGACTTGGAGATATATGTATATATTATATATATAATATATATATTTTTTAACAACTTGGATATATGATTCTACCTTTTAAACTGTAAATTTCATAAAATCCAACTACGAATCAAGGTTTTCTAGTGAAAAGATAAAACCTGAGTTGAGATGTGCTGTAAGTATGAAAAATGCAAAACATATTGTTAATAATTTGGGGGCGCCTGCATGGCTCAGTTGGTTAAGCGTCTGACTCTTGATTTCAGCTCCGGTCATGATATTAGGATTGTGAGATTAAGCCCGCGTTGCGCATGGAGCCTGCCTAAGATCCTCTCTCTTCCTCTCCCTCTGCCCCTCCCCTGCTCTCATTCTCTCTCTCTCAAAAAAAATGGTATTGATTATATGTTTCATGATAATATTTTGGATGTATTGTCTTAAGTAAAATATATTACTAAAATATTTTTGCCTGATGCTTCTAGAAAATTTAAAATTAATGCGTAGTTTTAATTATGTTTCAAACTATGTTGAACAGGGCGAATCTATTCCAACGGAAGGCTTTGCTTTTCTACAATCATCGATGATATCATCCCTCTCATTGTAAGATGGTTTTGGTGACTAGAGGTGAGTGATTTATAGATAGTTAATACTCTCTTTTGAACTCTTTTCTGCCAATGCAGATCACAATCCGCCTTCTCAGCCCAAGGAGAGTAGTGTTGGCCAGAACCATCACCAGGAGGAAATAATCCACAAGTTGGTCATGCAGTTGAGAAACATTGGGGACAGCATCAATCGTGGGATGGTTCGAGAGGTGAGTCTTTGGTTTCCGCAGCAACAGCCAGTTGGGTAGGAGGGAAGAGCAGACACAACTATGACCACCAAGTGGCTGGGAGGCCCAGGAATTAGCAGAACATAAGGATTAATAATATTGATCTCATATTTGCTACTCAAACTGTGGTTGGTTGATAGCAGCATCAGCATCATGAGGTCAAATACTCACAAGCTCATGCCCCAGACACAGTGCCGGAGTCGGAATCTACTTTTTTACACCTCCCCCATCCCCCCCGCCCTGGAGATTTGCGTGCATGTTAAAGTATGAGAGACTTTGCTGCACACCCTCCAACTAGGGTGGATATTAGAATCACCTGTGAAGTTTTAAGAACTACAGATGCCTGGGCCCTACCTTGAGAAATTCTAATTTAATGGTCAAGAGGTGTAGCCTGGGCATCTGGTACTTTGGGGCTCCTGGGTGGCTCAGTTGGTTAAGCGTCTGACTTGGGCTCAGGTCATGATCTCACGGTTCTTGGGTTCAAGCCCCGCATCAGGCTCTGTGCTGACAGCTCAGAGCCTGGAGCCTGCTTTGGATTCTGTGTCTCCCTCTCTCTCTGCCCCTCCCCCGCTCATTCTCTGTTGCTCTCTGTCTCTCAAAAATAAATCAGTGTTAAAAAAAAAAAAGAAATTACATTAAAGGCTCCCCAGGTGAATTGAATACCCATTCAGGGAGGAGAAAACCCTTGACCGTGGTTTTCCTCCTCGAATGGACCGGGAGGTGATGCTCTAAGCCCCACTCCTGCTGATTTCTTTGTTTCTCCTGATTATTATATGAGATAAGAAGGGGAAACAGAAAAGAATAATGGTTACTGTTTATGTCTTAGAAGTGCTCAAGTCCATCGGAATAACCTATAGTTGCCAGTCGAGAGAGAATGATATGTGAGGCTCCATGGGGAGGGGGCTGCCTCTCAGAGCCCAACTTCTTCCCCTCAAAAACCTGTCCTGGGAGGATTCATCACTGCTGCCACCATCTTCCTGGCTTCAGGGAGTGCCATGTCCTCTTTTACGCTCTGCTTCAAATGCATCGAACCCTCAGCCTCTCCCTTAGATAAAACATTCCCTGAGACAAAACATGAATGAAGGGTCCCAACAATGACGCTACTAAAAGTAAGAAGGAAACACAGAGGAAAGAAACACAGGGAGTCAAATGAACTATTTGATGGACCGATCTCATTCAAAATGAACAGTAAAGTGGATGACGAGTCAGGCAGGGATGCGGGCTCGATGCAGGATTGGGAATACCAAGTGATGGAGAGTGACCTGGGATGGGTGATCCGGGAAGGCCTCCCTGGGGAGGCAACCTATTTGAGCAGAGACTGGAAGTGAGGCAGTGAGCCATGGGACTACCTGGGGGACATGTGTTCCAGGCAGGGGGACAGGGAGTGCAAAGCCCTTGTGGTAGGAATAGGCTTAAGGAAACGTGAGGGGGCCAGAGAGGCTGGAGCTGAGTGAGTTGAGGTTCAGGAGTTGGCCTCAGCCTTAGGGGCAATAATAAGGTGTCTGGGTTTTATCCTGTGCATAAGGAAGCTTCTGGGGAGGGAGAGCTTCATGAGCCGATTCATGTTTAGAATAGGGACTGGCTGCGGAGCAGAGAGTAGGCTGTTGTGAACGGATTAAATGAGATAATCTTTGTAAACCACTTAGAACAGAGCTTGACCCACAGAAAATGACCAATAAATGTTAGCTCGGCCAAAAAATTAATTTGTTTTCTGCCTTTGCCCTTTTAATAGTTGGAATTGACCACCTGTGTGCTGTGGATCATTTATGAGCATGCCCGAGATATTTACCATTTCCTTTCTATGCCACTGTTTCCTCTGGAGGAAAGTTTTCACTGATGACTGGACTTTATGAATTCTAGGAAAGCCCTTAGTTCAACTTCCCTGCCTCTTTATCTGCCAATTCTGAATACTCACGGTTCCTTCTGATTTTTTCTCTGAAGAGGAGAGAACAGAAGACAAATCACAACCACCTATTTTCTGTATTCTCAGCCCAATTAAGAGATCACTGCTCTAGGTAGCCTCCTATTCCATTTTTCTCCCTTTCCCTCTTTCTCTTACGTTTGAGGTTGTAATTTACTTGTGTCTGAAATTTATCCGAACAGCTTAATAAGTCGACACCGAACTTCTCCAGCTTTTTAAAAAGAAATGAGGCGCGCCTCACGGTTCGTGAATTCAAGTCCCACCTTGGGCTCTCTGAGCAGAGCTCGTGTTAGATCCTCTGTCCCCCTCTCTCTCTGCCCCTGCCCCACTTACATTCTCTCCTAAAAATAAATAAATAAACTTAATGTTGATTCCGATGATGGTTGTACAGCTCTGTGAATATTCTAAACACCATTAGCAGTACAGTACTCAACAGGTAAATTATACAGTATATATTTTATTTTTTCATAAAGTTATCATTAAAAAATTTTTAATGTTTATTTTTGAGAGCGAGAGAAAGAGAGAGAGAGCGCACAAGCATGAGCCAGGGAGGGGCAGAGAGAGAGGGAGACACAGAATCCGAAGCAGGCTCCAGGCTCTCAGCTGTCAGCACAGAGCCTGCCAACACGGGGCTTGAACTCACAAACCACAAGATCATGACCTGAGCTGAAGTTGGATGCTTAACTGACTGAGCCACCCAGGCGCCCCTCATACTGTGGTTTTGATTTGCACTTTCCTGATGGCTAGTGTGTGTATCTTTTTATGTGCTTACTGCTCATTTGGGTGTCTCTTTGGAGAAACGTCTATTCAGATCCTTTGCCCGTTTTAAAATTGGGCTATTTGTCTTTTTATGATTGAGCTGTAGGAGTTCTTTATACATCCTAGATGTAAGTTCCTTATCGGATATATTATTTGCAAATATTTTCTCCCGTTTTCACTATTTTGATGGGGTTCTTCGAAGCACAGAACTTTTTAATTTTGATGAAGTTCAATTTATCTATTTTTCTTTTTCTACTGCTTTCGGGGTCATATCTAAGAAACCATTGCCTCATCCAAAGCCATGAGGATTTACACCTATATGTTCTTCTAAGAGGCTTATAGTTTTAGCTCTTCAATTTAGGTCTTTGATCCATTAGAGTTATTTTTTGTGGAGTCTGTGAGTTAAAAGTTCACCTTCATTCTTTTGCCTGTGGGTATCCAGTTGTCCCAGCAGCATTTGTGGAAAAGACTATTCTTTCCCTATTAAATTGCTTTGGCATCCTTGTCAAAAATCAATTGACTGTGAGCGTTTATTTCTGGGCTCTCCATTCTAGTCCACTGATCTATATCTATCCTTAGCCTGCCCTAGTGTTTCCTGCAGTATTTCACAAAGCCGGCTTTGCCCTAGACTTTGAAAGGTGTCTTGTCCTGGACCACAAGATTGCATTTTAGATCACCTTTAAGTAGCTCACGGTGCGTTTAAAAAATAATTTAAAAAAATCCCTCTGAAGTGTGGCTATAAAACGCTCAAGGCTTAACTCTGCTGCTTAGAGACTTAAATCAAGCAACTTTAGCGGAATTTCACATCTGGAATGACGTACTTCTTTTGTATATAGTCATCACCTTTTGTACCCTGTTTAATCAAGGGGTTCTCCAGATGTCTTCCTGCTTTGGGCGTATTTAAGGAAACTCGTTCTCGCTCTGGGGGTGCCCTAGCAAGGAGCTTACCAAGTTCTTTTGTCTGTCACGCAGGCAGCTTGGTGCCTTGTTCTTTTCATGTAAGCAAGCAGTGTTCTTTGTTTTCTAGGAGGCCTTGATTCTCAAAATAACACCTTCTATTTTGCTATTTAGGGGTTTTGAGGGACCTGGTCTTTTTTTTTTTTTTTTTTTCTGGGGCATGTAATTTTCCTAGATAGAAACTGTATTTTAAAATAGTCTTCCCATTGCTTTTAGGATCTTAAATGTGTCTTTGGAATTTTGTCTCCATAGGACTCTCCTTCTGGGTTCTAGAAACTGTGCCCCTCCCCCAGCCCCCCAACGCTACAGACAACAACTCAGAGGTTACCCGCCCAGGTATTGCCCCTCCCTGTGTGCCCTCCACTTTTGTAGACAGGCTCTTTATTTAACTGTCCCTGAATTATCCTAATTTGAGTGTGCCTTCTGTCTCCTCTGGGACCGACTGGTGCAGTAATGCATACAGCATTTCTTGGTTTGTTAGAAAGAGGGGAGGGAAGCTAACATTTATTATTAAATAATTTCTTCCAGGTTCTTTTGAGAGACTCTTACATGTTTCATTCAATTCTCTCAATAACTCTATGGATTAGTGGATTAGTACTTCATGAGAAGCAGCTGAGATTCAGAGAGATTAGGTAACCTAAGGTCACTCGGCAGTTAAGTGCCAAAACTGGAATTTAAATATATGAGTATCTGACTAGGTACTCTGTACCTTTTCTCATCAACCTTGCTGGGAGGAAATTCATTCCATTTTCCTAACTGATACCAACTATAAAAGAGGAAAGAAAAAACCCTTTAATGACTCCCAGTTGCTGACAGGACAGCCTGAATTCTTTAGCTTGCTACTATTGGTTTATCATTCATTCATTCATTTATAGAGCTAATATTTATTGAGTACTGTACCTATTATGTGTCAGGATACATTGAAGTACTGGAGATATGACAATGATTAAAAGAGACAAAACTCCTTGATCTCATGGAGTATATATCCTTTTTTTTAAACATTAAAATTAAAAAAATTTTTTAAACATTTATTTATTTTTTGAGAGACAGAGAGAGACAGTGTGATCAGGGGAGGGGCAGAGAGGAGACACACAATCCGAAACAGGCTCCAGGCTCCAAGCTGTCAGCACTAGAGCCTGATGCGGGGCTCGAACCCATGAACCATGAGATCATGACCTGAGCTGAAGTCGGAGGCTTAACCGACTGAGCCACCCAGGCACCCCTAAAATTTTTTTTAATGTTTATTTATTTTTGAGAGAGAGAGAGAGAGAGAGAGAGAGAGTGTGTGTGTGTGTGTGTGTGTGTGTGTGTCTGAGAGTGGGGGAGGGGCGGAGGGAGAGAGGACAGAGGATCTGAAGCAGGACAGCACAGAGCCCGATGCGGGGCTTGAACTCACAAACCTTGAAGTCATGACCTGAGCTGAAGTCAGATACTTAACCAACTGAGCCACCCAGGGGCCCCTCACCAAGTTTATATCCTAAAAGGCAGACAGACTATAAGCAGACAAATAAAGTATGCAGTTTATCAGTCAATGACAAATACTGTGCAGAAAAATAAAACAAGGAAATTAAAAAAAATTAAAAAAGGAAGGAGGAGTGTTGAGGGGTTTACAGTTTTAAGTAGATGGGGGAATGCCTTCCTACTGAGAGGATGACTTCCTAGCGAAACCTTGACAGAGGGGTGGGAGGGAGCCATGCATCTCTGGGGCGGGGTGCAGTGGAGGCAGGTGGAAAGCAGAGACACGGAGGCAGGAGCATGGCTGGCACGTTTGAAGAAGCAAAGGTCTGGCTTCTTTGAAAAGACTGAGAAGGTTCCCTGCAACCCCAGAGGCAGAGGTTACCAGCCCCGGAAAGGGTGCCCCCCACTTGCAGATGGTTCAGATGGGAAAAATACATCCAGAGGAAAGCTTCCCCAGGCGTTTGGAAGAACAGATCCAGATATTCTCCTGCTCATGCAATTCATAGAGCAGCCCAGGAAGCGTGTTTGTGGCATTCATTGGATTAATATTAATATTGAGTTTCTACCTTTGGATTATTCTATTGATTTTTTTTTTTAACTTCTCTCTCGCTCTTCTGTCAAACAGGATCTTCTTCCACAGGAAGTTGGGGAGGCACTGACTCATTTTGTCTTGGTTTTCTTTGGAGGAGTTCACGCACTGCAGCGCTTTCTCCGGAATAACCACTGGATGTAAAAGGAATGTAAAGGCAGACTTCTGCTTTCCTTCTACCCTCTGGGGACACGGGAACGCGCTGGGGCAGATGGAAGAAAACCCGTCTCCGTCCCCCTCGCTTTTTACCCCTCTCTGTTGGTTCACGCCGTGGTTTCTTGGAGGACCGCAGACTCACTGGCCATTTGTCTGTTCGGAGCCACCTGCTACGAGGCGTCTGTGACTGCCTTCCGGTAATGCCACTTAGAAAACGCCAGGGCCGCGGACGGTCCCCGGTGCTCCCTGTGAAGAAACCCTAAGCATTTTCTTTCATGAGTGAAATTGAACCTTGTTCTCCAAGCAGAGGTCATGGAAATGGGTGCTCTCCTGGTCCTTCCCTGGGTGCCCGGCCCTCCAGCAACGTGCTGGCCCCACCCTGGTTGCCTCTGTCCAGACTCGCAGCCCTGTTCTTAGCCCTCCCTGTCTACCTCCCCTCCCCACCCTCCCCTCCGTTTCGGAAGTATTAAGAAAGTTTATGGTTATTAATGATAAGTTCTATCTATACATTTTGAGTTCTTTGTAGGAAGAGTGTTATTTAAAAATGAATAATTAAAAAAATGAAATAAATATGGTTATTTTTTTGAGCATGAAACACCTGTGCGGATTTCTTTTGGGAAGGAGGGGTTCCGCTTATTCCTGTCCTATGGGTTCAAAATTTTGTAGATTTTGATCATCTGTAGCATCGCCTTTGTCTTTCCAAAGGGAAATGTCCTCATTTTATCAGTGTGTCTCGGGCAACGCCTATACAGTTCCATCATTAGTTAGGTTGTGGCTTGCTGGCATGGAATGGGGGTTGAAACATCTTTCTTGGGTTGCCTGGGTGGCTCAGTCGGTTAAGCGTCTGACTCCAGCTCAAGTCATGATCTTGTGGTTTGTGGGTTCAAGCCCTGCATCGGGTTCTATGCTGATGCTTGGAGCCTGGAGCCTGCTTGGGATTCTGTATCTCCCTCTCTCTCTCTGCCCCTCCCCCCCACTCACACTCTGTCTCTCTCAAAAGTAAATAAACATTAAAAAATGTTTAAACATCTTTCTTACTTATTTTAACTCTTTTGATCGGTATTTATTCCTACGGTTAAAAATCAAAACATGTAAGGGGCGCCTGGGTGGCTTAGTCGGTTAAGCGTCCGACTTTCGCTTAGGTCATGATCTCGAGGTTCGTGGGTTTGAGCCCCGCGTCGGGCTCTGTGCTGACTGCCAGCTCGGAGCCTGGAGCCTGTTTCAGTCTGTGACTCCCTCTCACTCTGACCCTCCCCTGCTCACGCTGTCTCTCTCTCTCTCTCTCCTAGAAATAAATAAAACATTAAAAAAAATTTTTTTTTAAATCAAAACATGTAAGAAGGCTTCCAATGAAAACTCTTCCTCTTATTTTCTTTTTTTCTCTTTTAAAAAAATTGTCCAATGTTTATTTTTGAGAGAGAGAGGGAAAGTGCAAGTGGGAGAGGGACAGAGACAGAGGGAGACAGAATCCGAAGCAGGCTCCAGGCTCCGAGCTGTCAGCACAGACCCTGATGTGGGACTCAAACTCACGAACTGATCATGACCTGAGCCGAAGTCGGATGCTTAACCAACTGAGCCACCCAGGGGCCCCTCCTGCTCTTATTTTGTATCCTGAATCCCAGTTATGTCTAGTAGTTTATTACATATCCCTTCAGAGTTTCTTTGTACAAATACATATATTTTGTATGTACACACAAAAGGTAGCGTGTAGTACACATTATTCTGTACCTTGATTTTTTTGCTTAGTGTGATGGTCAGACACACTTCTAACAGGCACACACTAACATTCTTACAAATGTTAACTCATTTACTCCTCATAGCAACCTTACGAGATTATTTATTATAAGCTCTGGTTTCCGGCTAAGTAAACAGAGGCAGTTAACAGAGGCAGTAGAGATGTTAACTAATTTACCTAAGGGCACAGGGCCAGCATGTGACAGCTGGAATTCCAAGCCAGGCGGGCTGTCCTGAGTCTAGGTTCTTAACTGCTAATCTGTACTGCCTCTTGGAGAACTTGCCATCCATCACAGAGAGATGAGTCAGTGTTCTGTTACACGGATCTACCATAATTTATTTCCTCAGCCCCCTGTTAATGGATGCCTGAATTGTTTCTAATCGTTCCTTATCAGAAGCCATGCTGAAATAAACAACATGTACATTTTGGATATGTGCAGGTGGATTTATTGAATACATTTCCGGTAGTGGGATTGCCAGGTGAAGGGTACATGCGTTTGTAACTTTGCAAGATCTTGTCTTACTATCTTACACGGGGTTGCCCAGTGTTCTCTGTTCCCCTCGGCCTCTCCAGAGGATTATGTTAGACTTTTGAATTTTTGCCAAATTAACAGATAAAGAAGGGGTATCTCAGAAAAATTTTAATTTGCCCACCTTAATAACGAGTGAGTCTGAGCATCTTCTATAGTCCGGGGCCATTCAGCGTTTTGTTTCAAGAGGACCTTCTATCCGTATCCTTTGCTCGTTTTCCTATTGGGTTTTTGGTCTTGTTCTTTCTAGTTTCTAGAAGCTCATGATGCATCAGTGCTAAGTAAGCATTTATAACAGCATCTATACCTTGGGAATTTCCGCAGGTCAGGCTTCTCTCCTTTTCCTCGGATGAGTGTGTTGGTTTGCCTGGAATAGCCAGAGGCCTGGGAAAGGGTGCTAGGGGGATTCCATTGAGTACTAGGGTCTAAGTCAGCAGAGGTACCACAGCGCCTCTGATGGTGGGGCTCCGCGGGGTGGGGGTGGGGGACCATCACCAAACGGAAGGCAGGGGAGGGCTCAGGGCCAAGAAGGTCACTCATCCATAAGAGGCGAGGCACCTGGTCCAGATGGACAGCATCAGAGGTCCCGCCCCATCCAAATGCGGAGACGCACGGGGTGACATGAAGGTGGTCTGTGGCTGTCCTGAGCCCAGGACTAGGGGTTCCCTAAGCTCCCCAGATCCCGCAGCATCTCACCTCCGTGCCGCTGGGAGCCAGGGCCAGGCTGGCCGGAGGAGGGTCCGTTCACCTGCGGAAGGACGCGGGCAGGACCGACGCCTCCCGGCCCGCTTCGCTCCCCGCAAGGGCCGGCCCCTGCCCGCCCCAGAGTCCGCCGGGGCGGGAGTGGAACCCGGATCCCGCTCTTTCGTTTTCGTTTCCCGGAAGGATAGAGATTACCGAAGCGCCCTGCTCGCCTACTCGCCCGGGGAACACAAGGGCGCGCTTACCCGGCGCCTCTCCAAAGAGATCTAGGCGACTTTCCAGTTTTGGGGGCCGAGTTAGGGGTTGGGGGTAGGGGACCCAGCAGCCGCAGCCGGGCGAGCGCTCACGACCGACGACCGGTGGCTCCCTCACCTCCACCTGTGATGCAGGTAAGGGCCCAGCGACTGAACCCGGCAGTGCGGTGCCAGTGCGCGCGGAGCCTCCTGCCCCCCAGCCCTTCTCCACTGCCTCAGTTTCCATACCCGTTTTATCAGAACTTTTTCCTGGCTGGAATCTCACTTTCCAACACATTCCCAAACCTCACCCTCCATCCCTCCCTCACCGGCCCTCTCTGCTCCTCACCCACCTCCAGTCCCGCTGTGTTATATACTGCTCCTCCTTACCTCCTCCTCCCCCCTCCATCAATCACTTGTGACATCCGTCTGTGGAAGTTCTTGCACAAACCAGACCCTCACAGCCGGCAAACGCAACCGCAGAAGCCCCCGCCCCTTAGCAGTCTCTCTGCGTTTGCCATATTTCCCCAGCAGCCCCGGAACCGCCCCAGAGCTGGGCCCCCTCCTCCCGCCTCCAAGGCCGTTCTCCACGTCCTCTCTCCAAGATCAAGATTCAGATGCATACCCATATTTTATCAGAACTTTCCCTGGACTTCCTACTGAGGCCCAGAGCCCTAACTCTCAGCAACTCCCTGGCTGGGATTTCCCAGGCAGTAAAAACCCGGGAACTGGCTGGTCCGCATGCTTGGAAGAGGGTGGAGGAGTCCACCAGGGGCTTCCTCTGAGTGTGAGACCCGTGGCAACCTCTGAAGCTGGGTTACCTGGGAAACAGCACCCAAGGGGGCAGCAGCAGACTGGGAGCCAGCCAGAAATGGCCCAGAGAACTAGCCCAAAAGTTGTTAAATCCTCCTCTGCCCAGGCTTCTGGAGTTCGCTTTGCAGCTCCAGATCCCTAGTCTCTCAGGCAGGTTCCCCTCCTCAGACACCGAGAGATGAAGGTCATGCTCTTGAAGATCCTAGAGTGGGCAAAGACTTGCTTGGTCTGGTTTCACTTTTACTTTTAAAGGGGGGGGGGGCTGTGGCTGGGCATAAGTCCCAAGGATCCTCCTGCTTCTACAAAATCCGGTTGCTTTTTTCAACCCCTTATCCTGATGGATGAACCGAATACCTCTGGGGCGAAGCTGGTTGTAAAATGGTAAAGATACAGCCTTCCCTTGGTGGGACCTTGGGATTCAGAAATTTATCCTTCTTTCTTCTCTCTTGAAAATGGCATTTACCTGGTGGCTTATTTATTTCTGACTTCGGTCTTTTTATCCCGGCCCTTCAGGTTCTCTGTGTTCTCTCACCAGGGTCCCAGAGAGTGTTCCTATGCTCTCAGATTTCCAGCTTACAAGCCAAACGTAGGGTTAGGCAAATTTGTGAGACACTTGAATCAGAAAGATAAAACTGATCAAGTGTCCACTGTATATGAGATGGTGAAGGTACCAAGCTGAAGACACTCATGGTTCTTCCCTTTAAGGTAGATACAGAGAAGGATGCTCTTCCCCTTGGAAAAAAAATTCTGAATCTATTTAAGGATGGCTGAGCCTTCACCGAGAAGGCTCTTCTTTGACTGCCCTGGGTTTTCCTCTTTCTAGGAGGGAGAATTGGCCAGTTCTTCTGTGAGCCCGGAGGCAGCCACACCACCCGCAAGCACCCAGGCCAGATGTGAAGCTAGAATGGACTTGCTGGGGGAAGGGGGGATCTGCAAGCTTCCAGGAAGACTCCGTGAGTAGAGCCTTTGTCATAAAGGCTAATGTTTTTATTTAAAAAATTAAAAAAAATTTTTTTAAACATTTATTCGATTTTGAGAGACAGAAAGAATGCAAACCGGGGAGGGGCAGAGAGAGAGAGAGAGAGAGAGAGAGAGAGAGAGAGACGGAATCTGAAACAGGCTCCAGGCCCTGAGCTGTCAGCACAGAGCCTGATGCGGGGCTCAAACCTATGAAAGGTGAGATCCTGACCTGAGCTGAAGTCGGACACTTAACTGATTGAGCCACCCAGGCACCCCAGAGGCTGATGTTTTTAAAGGACATAAATGTGACGCATAGACTTCTTACCCAAGAGACTGCCTTCCCTCCATTTGTTATTTCTTTGCTGGATTTTCTGTAACTTCTCCTTGGTGAGGAAGTCAGAGGAGGTAAATGTGAATTCTCACCTTGGGAAGGAGGCTGCCATGGCCAAGGGTGAGGGCGAGCGGTCTCCTCATTGGTACGATGAGGGTTGGGATCAAATGAGCTATGGGGTCTCTTCCAGCCTAAAGACAAAGGGCTGGGGATATCGCCAACGAGGGAGCCTGATGAGGTGAAACAATGAACAGCAGTCGTATGTATGTAGAACTCTCTTTTCAATAATGATGTTTAATTTTTATTGTTCCTAAAGTAGCATATGCTTATTTCAAAAATTAGGAAATGGCCGAAGAATATGTAAAACAATCAAATGCACCCAAAGAGAGCCATGGGAAGTATATTGACCATGTCCTTTTATTTCATTTTCCCAAAGAAACTCCTAACCATAGAACAGGCTGTAGATGAATGTTCTTTATGCCTATCTTTCCATTGCCAGAGCTTAGGGCTGGAAAAGCCAAGTGACCCGCTCCAGAGCACATGGGCTCTCCATGCTAAGGCCAGCTCTTGGTCCTTGATAATCCTCTAAGAGATTTTTTAAATGTACTTCATAAGCCATGGGAATCATAGGTTAGGCAGCAAGCTGACTGCCAGTGGGAGGTCTTAATCTGGACGGGGATGGTTCTTAGGGCACCTGAGGGCAGGTACATCTCACCAGGGTTGTGAAGCATCCAGGCCACTTCTTGCTTGGCTCAGAAGTGGCTGGAACACTGCTTAACTGATTTCACACCTTCTGATTTCCTGGCCACGACCTCCTCTTTGAGCTGCTGACAGGATTGAGCAGAATGTTGGGTATGACTTCACAGGCCTTGGGGAGAATCTGGTTGCCCCCAAATGCCTCTGCTGGAAGCAGCCCGGTTTAGCGAGGAACGCAGCCTGTGGGATGAAGGGGACTCACGGATACGAGGGAACCACAGAGCATGGGTGCACTCATGCCTCAGAGTAGGGGGGGAGGGAAGCCGCAGTGTGATGTGGGGAGAGGGGCAAGGGGCTCTGTAAGTGTTTCGTTTTGTCCAAATGCCAGCCCTGACAGGGACCTTGGAGCTCAGGGCTGTTCCAAGGAGATATTTGGCAAAAGTTACATAGAGGGTAGGATTTGGGCTCTGTTCACAACCCAAGCCGTGGTGATGAGGAAAAATGGGACTTTGGGGACAGAGCTGAAGACCCTGAATGTTGCTGCTAAGAAGGACCTTTGACGACGTCTCATGGGAGCTGAGGACACTCAGCCTCAGTGGTGGTGGTGGTGAGGACTTGTTTGCAGGTTCCACGATGACCTCTAGATTATCCCCCATTACCTCCCCATATTCAAAGTCCACTCCCCTAACTGGCACACCAAGTCCTAGAATGTCAACACTGTAGACACTTGAGGTGTCCTCAGTCAATTCACTTGTATTCCAAATAAGGAAATTGAGGGCCAGAAAGTTGTGTTCTATCCAAGGTCAAGTAACCTTCAGTTACCTCTGTTTTGTTGGGTGCCTAGCTTAAGGTGGCTGGGTAAGAGGATACAAGAAGAGGGGTGGGGCTTTAGAAAATATAGGCATCACCTTTTTTTTTTTTGAAGCCCCCTGTAGTGGGGCCTCTCTGAAATGGTCACCAGGTCTTCCTGCACATTCCTATAAGAATTTCCTCTTCTCTTCAGCCAGCCTGTTTCCTAGTTACTCAACTCAGGGTGTCAATTTAGAGCTCCTGGGGGTACTAGTCCTATTGCTTTTGGTTAGATTTCTCCAGAAACAGGCCCTGAAATACTTCCCCACAGAGGAGAGAAGGAAATCCAATTTATTTATTTTTATTTTTTTAAAGTTTATTTATTTTTGAGAGAGAGAGAGAGAGAGTGTGTGGGAGTTGGGGAGGGGCAGAGAGAGGTGGACAAAGGATCTGAAGCAAGCTCTGAGCTGTCGGCACAGAGCCCAATGCGGGCCTGAACTTATGAACTGTGAGATGGTGACCTGAGCTGAAGTTGGACGCTTAACAGGCTGAGCCACCCAGGTGCTCCGGAAATCCAATTTAAATTTAAATTGTAGCACTGTGGGCAACTGGGGCTCACTCCCAGTAGGGACTTGTGGGGGACAGTGAGAGCACACCCTGAATTATCCTAGCCCAGGGGTGAGGAAGCTGGGTCTTCATCCACCCACATCCCATCCGTGAGGGGGTGAGGCTGCTTCCACTGAATCCGCTGCAAATTGAAAAGACTTCTCCTTTGAGGAGGAGTGGAGCAAACCTAGCCAGGGCTTGGCTCGGCTCCATCCCCACTTTCCCTTTCCAAGTTGCCCTTTGCACTGGGCTAAGTCAGGTGCAGAGTCAGGTGCTGACATTCAACATTTGGCGGCCATCAGAGAGTAGAGGTGAGAGCCAAGGGCCATGGGCAGGGCACCAGCAGTGCCCTCTGTCCTTCTTATCTTAGATTTCATGACTCATATTTACTTCTGAAAATATTTGGGCAACACAGCCCTGGCCTTTAGTAAATATCCAGCCGTCTTCCAAGACAGGGTGAGCTAAATGACTCATTTTCCTCCAACGACATCCCAGATAAGCAGACTGCTGACCCTCCGTGAGGGGTTAACCTTTCAGATGGCTGCAATGACGTCATCCTTTCTTCTTACATTTCTGGAAATTGGGTGTCTCTCGCTGGGCATCTCTCTGGCATTTGTCCCCAGTTACCCGCCCCATTCCCTCCTCCACCTCGAGAGCTTCTCTTCTTTTTTATTTTTTAATTTTTTTTCTTAAATAGTTTATTGTCAAGTTGGTTTACATTTTTCTTCTAACCAGCAGGGTGATTTGCCTCAGCGGGAAGGTGAAGAAACAAAACAAATCCTGCTTAGCTTTGGGAGTTAGTGCCTAGTGGCGCACACAAGTTCCCTGCAGGGCTCCTTTCCATGTTTATTTGCCTGACAAACAAAGGCGTGCAGTAGAGGAGGGCAGAGGGAGAATTGTCATCTAGCGACAGGAAGTGGGCCCAGACGTGGGCCCAGACGGAGGGCCTGGATCGCCCTAGGCTCTGCATGCACAAAAGGAGATTCACACGGAGGCTTCCCTCTGTGGAAGGGGAGAGTGAAAGAGGAGTCACAGCTCCCCTCCCCCAGGCTGCATGCGTGAGGGTCTCCCCCAAGGTCAGGGTGGGTCAGGAGCTGTGAAGGTAGGACAGGCCCTGGGACCACTTGTGGTCCTAGGGGAGTGAGTCATGGAGGCACCGAGAGATGGTCACCAGCACAACCGTGTTTGCAGACAGAGAAACCGAGTCATCTGTGCAGCTAATGGCCAGATGGGGCCCATGCCTTGGGCAGACTCTTAGTTCTTGGTCCTGAGTCGCTGCATTTTCCTGGATCTGATTCCCTGGGGGAGGGGGGGGGGAGCTCTGTGAATTTCCCACGGTTGGCTGCAGAGAAATTGAGATCTCTGCGTTTGGAAATTGACTTTCAAAGCTCCTAGTTGTGAACAAGCCATGGGAGGAGACCATAAAGCGCCACATCTGACTTTCAGATGTCGTGAGCAGAGGGAGGACACGCTTCTGCAGCACTCTGGCAATGTACATCATGGGAAGAGGCCCTTGGGGTATTCCGACAGATGTTTGTGCCGCTGCTCAAGTTCATATCTTCACCTACCGAGAGTCCCCGAGCACTTACGTTAATATATACGATTTTTTTAGGCTTATTTATTTATTTTGAGAGAGACAGAGAGAGTGCCAGCAGAGGAGGAGCAGATGAAGACGGAGAATCGCAAGCAGGCTCTGCGCAGTGTGCAGACCCAGTTCGTGGCCTGAACCCATGAAGCCATGAGGCCATGACCTGAGCCAAAATCAAGAGTCAGACGCTTAACTGACTGAGCCACCCAAGCGTCCCCACACAATTCTTTGTTTTTCTTTTTAAGTTTATTGAGAGAGAGGAGAGAGAGAGAGAATGAGCACGCAAGTCAGGGAGGGGCAGAGAGAGAGAAAGAGAGAATCCCCAAGCAGTCTCTGCACTGTCAGCATGGAGCCCGATGCAGGGCTCGAACCCACAGCCATGGGGTCATGACCTGAGCCGAGATCAAGAGTGAGATGATCAACTGACAGAGCCACCCGGGCACCCCAACATACAATTCTAACAGAGTGGCTTCCTGCCACTCTAGATCAGGGCATCTCAAATTTTTGTGTGCATGTGAGTCTCCTGGGAGTGCTGTTGGAATGCAGCTTCTGGTCCAGTAGGTTTAGGATGAGCCTCTAGTAAGCTGTGTCCCTAGTAAACTCTTGGGTGACCCGGCTGCTGCTGGGAATGCATTCGACAGCCTCATTTTATACAATTATGTCCTAACAGCGCTTTTCAAAGGGTCTGGTCAGGGCAGACAGCCTCTCCTCTGCTGTCCTACCTGCCTCTTTGTTGCGGTACATTCAGCAATCTTCTGTCTTAAAACAAAAAAACCCAAAGCATTGGGTCAGGCCTCACTAAGGAGTGAAATCAATTTAGTGGGTCAAAATAAGTATTTTTAAAAAATGAAATAGAACAGGGCACCTGGGTGGCTCAGTTGGTTGAGTGTCCGACTTTGGAAAGTAGATTCTTATTATCCCCACCTGACAGATGTGAACACTGGTCTTGGAATGGGGAGGACTCTCTTCTCCACAGTCACCCACCAGTGGAATGGTGGTGGGGCTGGGGTTCAAGCCCAGGTACCTCCGACCCTGCGGCTGTCACTTACTCTGAGCAAAAGCCTCCAGTGTGGGATGAGGACAGCTCCCATTTTTAGGGGACTGGCCAAGCACTTTACAGTCTCCCCCATTCCTCCTGGAAACCCGCCGGGGAGGAGGAAGCTGGCTGTTCTGATTTGACTGGTAACGGTAGGCCCAGCTCTGTTGTTCTGGAAGTCACTCTAGCTAGCAAACTGCAGGGGTGTGGTGAGGAGTAGCTGGGAAATAGCTTTGGTTAGGTGGGGAGGGGCAGCTTGAAGCGGCTCTTGAAACCAGGTCAGAGGAGTTTTGACTTGCTCGGGCCAAGAGTTGGGAACCACGCCAGTTTCTTCTTTCTTTCTTTCTTTCTTTCTTTCTTTCTTTCTTTCTTTCTTTCTTTCTTTCTTTCTTTCTTTCTTTCTCTTCCTTCTTTCCTTTGTTCCTTCCTTCCTTATTTCCTTCCTTCCTTATTTCCTTCCTTCTTTCCTTCTTAAGTTAATTTATTTATTTTAACAGAGAGAGAGAGAGCACAAACTGGGGAGGAACAGAGAGAGAGGAATAGAGAGTGAGAATCCCAAGCACTGTTAGTGCAGAACCGAATGCAGGGCTCGAACTCACAAACTGTGAGATCATGACCTGAGCCAAAATCCAGAGTCAGTCGCTTAACTGACTGAACAAGCCACCCAGGCTCCCTGCCATGTTACTTTCTTGAGCAGAAGAGTGAAAGGGGTGCTGTGGGAAGAGAGACCTGGTTGGGTCAGGGCTGGGGGGGGCCAGAGAAGGGTGTGTCAAGATGCTTGGAAGTCTTTAAACTCACTCATTTAGACCATTTATATTTATTGAGCATCTACTATGCTCCGGGCATTGCTGTAGGTGCTGGAGAGACAGCAGTGACTGAGACTGGCCTAGTCTGTGGTCAAGGAGCTGACATTCTAGCGGGGGTTGCAGTGACTGCATAAGGAAGCTGGAAGCCCAATGATATGGGCAGCGGAAGGAGATGCAGCCCAGGAGGGGGAGGGGGGCCTTCGAATCCCACCCTGCTCTCGGTGTGGGTGGGAGACACTGCTAACTCTTCAGGAAGACACTCAGACCCCCAAGTGGTGTCTTAGATACACAGCTCCTCCAGCTTCCCCTGCCAGGGTCTCTGCCTGGATCTGCCCCAGAAGCTTGGAACCAGCCACGCCGGGAATCTCCAGGGAGCAAGTGGCCGGGGCAGGGAGAGTAAAGTGACATCAGGCTGGAGTCTTGAGAGGCAAAGATGGTTGGTGTGAGGAACTGAAAATATGGTGGATGACAGCCAAGAGAGGGAGAAGTGTGGGTTTCTCTGCAGGTCAAGCCTATGGGTGTGGTTAGACCAGTAGGGGAGGCTCAGTTGGGTTCATCCTGCTAACTAGGGCAGGAAGACGTCTGGGGGCGGGGGGGGGGGTGGACACCTTACATGACATTCACCAGTGGTTGCTGAGCTCTGCGTGTGCTGGGCCCTGTGCCAAGCACTCTACTCATGTCCCCCCAAGAGCTCCGCTCATCTTGGAAAGTGTGTACCTCATGCCAAACACTGGCCTTCAAATGGATTATCTCGTAGAATCCTTCTGACAGCCCCGGGTCGCCCGCTAGTACTGTGTGTGTCACCACCCTTGATTTCGGATGAAGAAATGGAAACACAGCCATTTAGCCAGTTTCCAGCTGGCCTGGCACCAGCATCGATACTTATTGTTGCATGTTTTTCCTTTTCCTTTTTTTTTTTAAGCTATAATTTACATAGGGCCGTGTGTACAAATCCTAAGTTACAAATGTTTATGCACGTGTACGCTTGGGTGGCCACCGCTGATATCAGGAACTAGACCAGCTCCAGTGCCCCAGGAAGGTGCCCTGCACCTCTTCGCAGTCCATTCCCCTGCAAAGGGCGACCACTATTTTGTTTTCTGTTCCCAGATCAGCTTCTATTCTTGATAGTGTTTTTACACCTGGCTTCTTTCCTTCTTCATTGTATCTGTGAGCTTTAATCCATGTGCCATTGTACACGAACATCACAATTTGATCATCTGCTCACTGCCTGATGTTTCCAGTTCTTTTCTACTATGAACAGAGCTACTGGACATTCTCATACATGTCTTCTGGTGGTGTCGCTTAGGTCTGTACTTAGGGGTGAGATACTGGATTGTACAGTAGGTAGCTTGGGCTCCTAACCTGTACACCACCCTGCCCCTCAAACAGCGCGGTAGCCCAGTGAGGCAGTGTTTTATCACATTTCACAGAGGGGGAAGTTGAGGCTAACAGCGTGTGAGCAGCTTATAGGTGACTTGGCCAGCGAGGGGCTGAGGTGGGACCAGACCCTGGGGTTGGAGATTTGGCCCAGAGTTGGGTGGCTGATCTACCGCTTGGAACTTGGTCCTTCCCTGGGGGCTCGAGTCCTGTTGGAAGCCTTTTGACCTCAGTATTCTTTGAAGACATAAGTTACAGGAAGGTCCCTTTTCTGTATTTATTGGACCTGAGGGTCTGGCAGGAAAGGATAGGTAGTGAGCAAGAGGTAATGAAAGAAAAACCAAATCCCGCTCCGGGGCGATGACAGGCTTCGTTTTCAGGTGCTACTGTGGGTCCTCAGAGTCCCTCAGAGACAACATCGGAAGTCCCCTGCTCATGTCTCTGGACCTGGTAGCAGGATCACATCTGTGGTTGATACTGTCGGCCAAGTTCACGATTTTCCACCTCTTCGTGCAGTTTTAGTGTTTCCATGGAATCCATCCCCACCCTCTGGCCACACACAGGGCAATGTGCCCCTCTGACACAGGAATCATAGGTGTGAATTTTCAGGCCAACAGCCTCAACGATCACGGGATAGGCAACCCCTTCCCAAAAATGCAATGGCCAGTCGGCCTGCCCCCGGCACTCCTGAATCTCACTGTGGCCTCCAGCTTCACACCACACAGCTTTTGTGTCTCGGCCACTTCTGTAGCCACTGGACTGACCTCCCATGGAGGCTCCGCATTTCCGTTTCCACCAGCGAGGCATCCTTTTCCCTCATTCCTGCCTGCGGTAGGTGCTCTCATTAAAATTATATCTCATTCTTTTCTGATGGTGCCTGTCCCTGACCAGCGAGGTGTCACATCCTGCCACATGTTTATTAGTGGATTTGTTCTACTGCGGAAGTTCTCAGCTGGCAGCGGTTTTGCCTCTCTCCCTGGGGAACATGTGGCAGTGTCTGCAGACACTTTGGGTCGTCACTCTCCTTGGGCTGTGTGTGTGTGTGTGTGTGTGTGCGCGCGCGCGCGTGTGGGGGGGTGTGTGTGTTTGCTGCTGACATCTAGTGGGCAGGGGGCCAGGGATGCGGCCAAGCATTCCACAAAGCTCAGGACAGCCGCCACGGCGAGGAATTCTCGGGCACAAGGCGTCAGTAGTGCTGAGGCTGAGAAATCCTGCTCCAGTGTGAATTGCTAGTAAGATTCTTTTGTCTTAAAAAAAAATCAGTGTAGAGATGCTCTTCCCCTGTGATGGACATTAGCCCTTTTTAAAAGGATTCTTTCTTTATTTATTTTAATGTTTACTTATTTTTGAGAGAGAGAGAGAGAGACAGAGCGTGAGCAGGGGAGGGGCAGAGAGAGAGGGAGCCACAGAATCCTGTGTCAGCACACAACACAGAGCTGGAAGCGGGGCTCAAACTCATGAACTGCAAGATCATTGATGAAGTTGGATGCTTAACTGACTGAGCCACCCAGGTGTCTCAGCCCTTTTTTGTTTTAAATGTTTATTTCTGAGAGAGAGAGAACGTGAGCAGGGGAGGGTTAGAGAGAGATGGAGACACAGAATCTGAAGCAGGCTCCAGGCTCTGAGCTGTCGGCACAGAGCCCAAAACGGGAGTCAAACTCATGAGCCATGGGATCATGACCTGAGCTGAAGTCAGACGCTTAACTGACTGAGCCACCCAGGCGCCCTGACATTAAGCCCTTTATCTGCTATCTGTGTTGTAAATACTTCCCTTTATTCTGTCCTCTTTTAGTTTTGTTTATGGTATCTTTTACCACATGCACAACTTATGTAATCAAGTACATCTTTCATTTACATTACAGCCTCTGAATTTCCTGTCATGGCTGAGGGCTCACCTACCCACGTTTAATGCATATGGGTTTCCTATTTCCACTTAAAAAAAAAAAAAAAGACTTTAGGGGCGCCTGGGTGGCTCATTTGGTTAAGCATCTGACTTTGGCTCAGGTCATGATCTCACAGTTTGTTGGTTTGTGGGTTCAAGCCCCGCATCGGGCTCTGTGCTGACAGCTCAGAGCCTGGAGCCTGCTTCAGCTTCTGTGTCTCCCTCTCTCTCTGCCCCTCTTCCGCTCACACTCTGCCTCTCAAAAATGAATAAACATTAAAAAAAAAAATAAGTGAACACATACATACGGCGTAGATAATGATAAACATAAACATGTATATCGAGTGTAATGACAAGGAGGGTAAGGTGCCAGGACGGAAAAGAACAGCACATGCTGACAAAGTGGGAGGGGGGGCAGGACAGAAGAGCATCCGCCCAGGTGGAGCGTTCAGGGTGGGCTTCTCCGAGGAGGTGACGTCCCTGAAGTGCAAGGATGAGAGACTGCTGGGGGGGGCCTTGCCCCCCCCCGCCCTTTCCCAGCCCCTGTGCTCACGGTGGTTGCAGGCATCCAGCCGGCACTCTGGAGCAGGGAGGACGTTCTGCACTGGCTGCGCTGGGCCGAGCAGGAGTACTCTCTGCAGCGCACGGGGGAGCACGGCTTCGAGATGAACGGCCGAGCCCTCTGCATCCTCACCAAGGATGACTTCCGGCTTCGTGCGCCTGGTTCAGGTTAGGGAAACTGGCTGGCGTCCCTCTAAAACGTGCTGACAGAAGGCCAGGGGGACCCAAGGAGGGAGGTGGAGGCACTGGTTGGAAGAGTTTGCTCCCCTCCCAGCATGACCACGGTCCCCTTTGCCCCGGTGGCCCCTCGCTAGAGCAGGCCTGCGGGGATGTCTGGTGGTTGTTTGCAGAGCTCTGGGCGTCCTGCCCTGCTCTCCCCTCCCCTGCCCTTCCCCGTGGCTCTCATCTCCCCTGCCATTGCCACGCTGCCACCTCCTACCTCATCTGCATGAAGCTGCGGCTGACCCCAGCCCTCCCCTGAGAGGCAGGTGGCTGACCTGCCCCTGCCCCCACCCCCAGGTGACGTCCTGTATGAGCTGCTTCAGTACATCAAGACCCAGCGGCAAGCCCTGGCATGTGGGCCCTTGTTTGGAGGAGCCTTCAGGCAGAAGATGCCCACTCGGTACTGCCCCTGCCTCCCGGAAGGTGAGGAGGCTCCTCTCAGAGCTCTGGGACCCCCCCCCCCCCCCNTCCCGGAAGGTGAGGAGGCTCCTCTCAGAGCTCTGGGGCCCCCCCCCCCCCCCCGCAGTGGGGCTCACCGGGAGGGGAGGGTTCCTCCAGGCAACCTACTGGAGGAGGCAGCTGTGCGGGCTGAGCCCCCAGCTCCCCTCTGCCCTGCCCCCTCCACCCTCACCGCCGGCCCCTGTGACCCTCCAGGCTGCCGCCTCCCATCTCCTCATTTCTCTGCTCCCCTCTCTGGCAAAGCGTTGTCTGCTGTCCCTGTTTCCTCTCCTCCTGATCCCCCTCCCCCACTGCTACAATATAATCTCCATGAGGGCAGGGGCTTGTTTTGATTGTGTTACTTGCCCGGGAGCTGGGGTTAGCGCCTGGGCTGTCTGGCCCTCACCGGTGCCCTCCTTTGCCTCCCTGACCTTCCAACTGGGAACCGGATGGAGGAAAAGCATCAGGGGTGCTGCCCACGGGGACCCAGGTGTGCCCTGGGGGGCAGGGGGAGGCTCGGGGCCCGCACAATCAGCGGCGCTCATCTGCCTGCAGAGGGGACTGAGCCACCTCACCTGGCCCCCCGAACAGGTCGCCTGCAGCAGCCACCGCATCTGGGGTTTGCCAGCTCCTTGAGCCACCTGGCCAGGTGGCCCCTTGGTGGAGAGGAGTCCCTCAGTGTATCTCACCATTCGGAGCTCGGCTGCAGGGCTGAGGGAGACTGCTCCTCCCCCACGATGCCGGAGTCTCCCATCGATGGCAGGATCGCTGGTGAGTAGGACTTTTGTGTACCTGTGGACAGGAGGGAGGTGTGCTGAGGCCAAGTCCCAGAGGGTTCTGGGTGACAGGGAGGAGGGTTGCTCCGAGCTGGGTGATGAGAGGGTCCGTGCTGCGCTATCGGGGTGTGGGGTGACCGGCCTGTGTACTGGCCACAATCTGGCCACAGCAGTCTGTGCTGCCCAGGATCGCCAAGCCCAGCCTGTCTCCAGTTTACCCGGTCATAGTTGGACAGTGAGGTTGGCATGGTGAGTATTCCTCTCTTGTTTTGTTTTGTTTTTTCCCCTTTTTAAGGTCTGTTTTTTATTTTCTATTTATTTTATTTTATTTTTTGGTTAGGTAGTGAAATTTTTTTTCTTAATTTAAATCCAAGTTAGGTAACATATAGTGTAATATTGGTTTCAGGAGTAGAACTGAGTGGTTCATCACTTACATAGAACACCCAGGGCTCATCCTGAGTGCCCTCCCTAATGCCCATCACCCACCCAACATCCCTCCAGCAACCCTCAGTTTGTCCTCTGCATTTAAGAGTCTCTTATGGTTTGCCTCCCTCTCTGTTTTTATCTTATTTTTGCTCCCCTTCCCCTTTGCTCATCTATTGAGTTCCTTAAATTCCACATATGAGTGAAATCATATATTTACCTTTCTCTGACTGGCTTTTTTCGCTTAGCATAATACAGTCTAGTTCCATGCACTTTGTTGCAAATGGCAAGATTTCATTCTTTTTGATTACTGAGTAATACTCCATTGTGTGTGTGTGTGTGTGTGTGTGTGTGTACCACATCTTCTTTATCCATTTGTCAGTCAATGGACATTTGGGTTCTTTCCGTACTTTGGCTATTGTCAATAGTGCTGCTATAAACATTGGGTGCATGTGCCCCTTTGAATCAGTATTTTTGTATCCTTTGGATAAATTCCTAGTAGTGCTATTGCTGGGTCATAGGGTAGTTCTATTTTTAATTTTTTGAGGAATCTTCACACTGTTTTCCAGAGCGGCTGCACCAGTTTGCATTCCCACGAGCAGTGCAAAAGGGGGGAGTGTTCCTCTCCTTTAAATTTTTATTTACTTCTTGATTTTTAATGTTTACTTATTTTTGAGAGAGCACAAGCAGGGAAGGGGCAGAGAGAGGGAGGACAGAGGATCCGAAGCGGGCTCTGCACCGACAGCAGAGAGCCCGGCATGGGGTTTAAACTCATGAACCTCAAGATGATGACCGCGCCGAAGTGGAATGCTCAACTGACTAAGCCACCCACGTGTCCCCTTTTTTTTTTTTTTTAATATTTTTATTTCTACGAGAGAGAGAGAGAGACAGCGTGAGCAGGGGAGGGTCAGAGAGAGAGGGAGTCACAGACTGAAACAGGCTCCAGGCTCTGAGCTGGCAGTCAGCACAGAGCCCGACGCGGGGCTCGAACCCACGAACCGCGAGATCATGACCTAAGCGAAAGTCGGACGCTTAACCGACTAAGCCACCCAGGCGCCCCCCACGTGTCCCCTTTTATTTGTTGGGTGCTTACTCTGTGCCAGGTGAGCTTCTGAGACCTGTACGTATCCCACACTGACGTTTTGAGGTTGGTGTTCTCATTAGCCCCATTTTACAGATAAGGAAAATGAGACACAGAGAGGCTACATGACTCCCCCATGATCGATCACACACAGTGAGTGGCAGGGCTGGGACGTGAACCTAGGTTGCGTGGCCTGAGCTCTAACCAGGCAATGCACTTCCACTCTACGTTCAATGTTAAATGGTTGAAGAACAGGCTGCCGGACAGACTGATAGATAAACTGGCTGCCTTTTTGAAGGCTGCTGTTTGGCCACTGCTCTTCCATGGCTTTATTCTAAGACACCGCGGAGGGGGCAGAAGCCTGGCTTCCGGATCAGGAACAACCGGGCGTCACTAAAAGACAAGTATTTGATACTTCCAATGGTAACGCTTAATATTCTTTGAGCCCTTACCCTGTACCAGGCACCGGGCTAAGGATTTTTGGATCTGTTATGTTACTTGATTGTCAGATCATCCCCTACAAGGATGAGGGGCTCGGAAGAGGTTAGGTAACCTGCCTGAAATGACCCAGCCGGGTGGCCCAGGTAGGGGGACTTTAGCTCTCCTTCCCAGGCTCCCTCTGCTGCCTGCTCTCTCCATGATGGTACGTTTGATTTTCCCAAACCTCTTATCAGGGGGCTTGATAGGAAGGATTTAACAATCCTGATTTAACAGAGATCCAGGGGACCTGGAGGCAGGTGCAGGCCACTGGCCACCATCCAGCAGCCCCATCGCCTGCCCTTGCCACCTGCCTCCAAGTGAAGGGCTTTGGTGTCCGTGGGGCTGGGTTAGACTCCTTGGTCTGCCCGCCACAGGGAGCTTGGTGCCTGAGACAAGTCCATGTCTCTCTGAACTCATTTCTTCATGTCTTCCTGGGGAGACGGGGAGCCACTTCCTAGCGTTAAGGTGAATCAGAGAGACAACAGAGACAACAAGCCACCACAGGTGGCTGTTCCTGTCATCTTGACCATCCTGCTGCATGTCTGGGCCCAGGGACTTTTGAGCCCCAGAGCACCTTTCTAATGCCTGCACTCACAGCTCCAGAAGAGCGCCCTGTCCACACCCCCTGTGCTCGATTGCAGATTGCCGGCTGCTGTGGGATTATGTGTACCAGCTGCTCTCTGACACCAGGTACGAGCCCTACATCAGGTGGGAAGACAAGAACGCCCAGATCTTCAGAGTTGTGGATCCAAACGGGCTTGCCAGACTCTGGGGAAACCACAAGGTAAAGCTCTCCAGCCACCAGGCAGGGTGGCCTCCACACATCCAGAAGAGGACAGAGTAGGGGGGCAGAGTGGACCCATCAGCACTATGGGGCAGTCCTCAACAGACGGGGACTTCACCAGCAGCTCCAGAAGTGTCGGGATTGTTTTATTTTAGGAGATCCTGAGGGACAGGAAGTTACTTCTTGAGGATGGGGACTGTCCTGGAAGTTCAGAGATCTTGCCTTCTACTTGCTTAGCACTTGAGACCTTTTTAAAAAATTTTTGTTTAGTGTTTATTTACTTTTGAGAGAGAGAGACAGAGACAGAGTGTGAGCTGGGGAGGGGCAGAGAGAGAGGGAGATACAGAATCCGAAGCAGGCTCCAGGTTCTGAGCTGTCAGCACAGAGCCCGACGCGGGGCTCAAACTCATGAATCGCGAGATTACGACCTGAGCTGAAGTCGGACGCTTAACCGACTGAGCCCCCCCCGGGTGCCCCATGAGACTTTTAAAGCTTGTTTCCATGAGTTGTGCCGCATATCCTGCAGGGTGGTTGGGCCAGAAGAGGAAAGTGGTTTCCTGAGGGGGAAGCTGGGGTAGAAACCCAGGTCTCAGGCCCCGTGGCGGCATCGGGTGTCAGGGCTGGAAAGGCTTGGGAACCACTGAGGCCAGCATGCCCAATGTGAGGGGTGCCTACACCCAAAAAGGGCATCTGCCAGAAGACGTTAGGTGGTTTACTCCAAATTCTAATAATTATTTATTTTAGTATGAATTAAGATGAAAAGTTTTAACTACAGTGTCAATTTCTTGATTTACCCTGGTGATATAAAGCAAGTGTCCTTCTCTGTAAATAAAGTCATTTAACTAAAAAAGAAGGAGTCTTAAAAAAAAAAACAAAACTATCAGCAATAATGGTGATCTCCGGTAGACGGCATTTCTGAAAATGGTATAGCATTTGATGGCCGGGCCCTACTCTGAGGGCTAGCCCCATATTAACTCGTTTAGTCCTCAGGAGACCTCGTGAGGGAGGCATCGGAGGGGAAATGGAGGCACAGAGCAGTTTGCCCAAGAGTGTGCAGGCAGTAGATGACAGACCAGGGGCTGAACACAGAACGTGTGGGTCGATGCTTCACTCTTGTTGCCTCTCAGTGGTGCTGGGCACCGGGAGGATGCAACTGACTAAAGGTTGGGCGTGTTTACCTGGTCCAATCCCCAATAGTACACGGAGGGAAACTGAGGCCCAGAGAACAGCAGTTCCACTTAGTGAACATGTACTACCTGCCCAGCACTGTGCTCTATGGCTTAGCTAACTTAATCCTTGAACAAACCTGAGGGATCAATGTTCTTATCCTCATTTTATAGCCAAGGAAACAGAAGCAGAGAGGTAAAGAAACTTACCCGAGGTCACACAGCTGCTTTAAGGTGACACTGAATCCCAGCCTCTTTGCCCTTTCTCTCTACTGCCCACCCCTCAGAGAGAGAAAAAGAAAACAACTCGACTAAAGCCAGGCAGCTCGTGGGGAGCTACTCCTGCCATAGTGCCCCCTAATGGTGCTATGTCTCTGCATTTCCAACTAAATACATATTATTTGTTACTACTTGTGACCTTTGCTATTTAAAAGCACCATGTGAGTCACTCCTGCCCCGTAGGTAGCAGTCATTATTTCTCCTCCGACTTTCCCTCGCCTTTCTCCTTCCAAACTCAAGAGAACTCTCCAGAACTCTGGGCCAAGAGGCTTAAGAAACGACCCAGGTCAACCTGCTCCTTTGCACGTGTGGAAGCCAAGGCCTGGAAGGAGCGGGGTAGGGAGGGGACGGTGATGTGGGGCTGCTTTGCCTTCCAGAACCGGGTGAACATGACCTACGAGAAGATGTCACGTGCCCTGCGCCACTACTATAAGCTGAACATCATTAAGAAAGAACCTGGGCAGAAGCTGCTGTTCAGGTGAGTAGCCTGGGGGCCGAGGTGAAAAGGGGAAGCAGGGCGGGGGGGGGGGGAGGGCTGGAAACTCTCTGAGCCTAAGGCAGGGGCTGATTTGCTGCGGGGGCCTGAATTCCAGATTTCTGAAGACGCCCAGGAAGGTCGTCAAGGGCAAGGAGCAACGAGAGAGCCCGGAGCAGGGCAGGATGGATTTCCAGGAGGAGATGCTGGAAGTCTCTCCATGAGGGGCAGGTGGATTCTGGGCACCAACGGAGTCTCCCGGGAAGGCAGCTAGCTGCATGGTGGCCTCCTCCTCCCTCCCAGGGCACCAGGGGCCCCCAGCTGGCTTTGCACTCCACAGATCACAGCTGTTGTCTCTGACCTCCAAGCTGCCAGGGTATGTGGGGAGGCTGGGGACAGGGAGTCCTCACATTCAGGACATTGTGGGGGGCATCGCTCTTAGGTAGGGCAGCCCTGGGGCTCAGTGGGGTGCAGGGAGTGATCCCCCTCTCTTCCCTGCCCCTTGCTGCCTGCCCAGCTTGGGAATGAGAGCATCCAGCCCAATTCCTTCAACTTACAGAAGAAGGAAGCAGGGGTCCCTTACTGGACCTTAGCTTTTCTCATTTGTGAAAGGGACGAGCTCAGGAGAACCCACCCTCGGGGGGCTGATGCCGCGTGGGAAAAAGGAGTACTGTTTCGCCAGTCTTAATAATAATAATAATAATGGTACCTGACATTTAAGTGTTTACTATGTGCCAGGCCTGGTGCTAAGGGTCTTTCCTATAATTTATCTCGTTCAATTCACACTCCAAACCCTTGAAGTTTAAAAATGGGGGAATGGAGGCAGGGGCTTGCAGCCCTAGGATGTCTCTCCCAAACCCAGTGCCAAAACTGGCTGGTTTGTTTTAGTGACTCTGAATGTATCGGGCACTTCTCAAGCAGAGGCCGTGGCCCTACCCTTCTGCCCTCAGCGTCTCTGTTGAAGGGTCCATTTCACCCGGCCCTGCCCCCGTTTCCTGAGTTTTCAGTGCCTTGGTGCTTCTGTGGCAATGACCCAGGGAAGATGGCCCCTCCCTCCCCACCTGTGGTTTCCTATGCTCCTGTTCCCGCACCTGCCTTGTGACCTTGGGCAAGTTGTTTCACTTCTCTGGAGCCTCAGGCCTCTCACCCACAAGATGCAGAAGCTGGTTCTACCCCAAGAAATCTTCCCAAGGCAGAGTTTGCCACATGCTTAGTGGGCGCCTGCTCTGGAAGGAGCACATAATCCGTGTTAGCCAAGAGGACTCTGCGTACCCAAAGCTGCTCTAAAGCAGGAAAATGCCTCTGTGCTGTCGGTTCAGCTTCTCTGTGCTCTGAACACCCCCTCACCGCCCCAGGACTGGGTGGGGTCTCCCGAGGTGGTCAGAGCCTCTGCCCTGCGACCCCTCTAGTAAGGTCTGGGGGAGAAGGGGAAGAGGGTGTTTTCACTTCATTGAAAACAGAACCTCTCGTAGTCACATCTTCTTTCTTGGAAGGAGGAGACCGCTTCCGCCTCCTGCCCCCAGCAGGTCAGGAAATCCCCCTCTGGCTGAGCCTGAACTGGCTTTGAATCACCGTGCAGAAGCTGATAAGGATTCTCAGACTTTGGTCCTCAAAGCCGTGACCGCTCGTGAGCGGGGCTCATGTCCGGGCTTAGTCCCGCCCCAGGGCCCTCGACCAATCCACAGCAGAGGCCAGCGGGCGGGTGGCCTTGGCCAAAAGGTTCGATAGGAAAATCCTTGGCCACTGTCACCTTCCTTCAGACTGTTCCATTTCCTCGACTTTGCTCCAGGATGAACCCGTGCCCCGTAGCTTTCCTCATCCTCTTTAACCCAGAACTACACAACCGGGCTGGGAAACCCTGTTACGATCAGCGTGTCCAGACCGTTCTTTGTTTGTTTGTTTGCTTGTTTGTTTTTAATTATTATTTTTTAACATTTAGTTATTATTGAGACACAGAGAGAGACAGAGTATGAGCAGGGGAGGGGCAGAGAGAGAGGGAGACAGAATCAGAAGCAGGCTCCAGGCTCTGAGCTGTCAGCACAGAGCCCAATGCGGGGCTCGAACTCACTGACCGTGAGATCGTGACACCCAGGTCTCAGACTCTCCCTTTATTCATGAGGCAACTGAGGCCAGAGAGGGGGAGTGACTTGCTCAAGGACACACAGCCCAGCCCAGCCTGCTGACTCCTAACGTATTCTCATAGATTACTTCAGCAATTGCCTGCTGTGTTTGCTAATGGCTGTTACCAGCTGCACATCCCAGTGATTATGTCTTTACCCAGGGTGATGAGTCTCGCCCAGGACTGAGATCACTGGCCACTGGGGCCTGGGCTCGGGCAGAGTCTACTACCCCCCCCCCCCCAAGCCCTGGGCGGGGGAGCTCCACCCTTCCCCCATCTCCCCAGGCACATCAGGCCTGGTCTGAGATACACACCTCGGTGCCAGGACTTGAGGATTCATTCAGCCCTTCCCTCCACCAGCATTAATTGATCACTTGCTGTGTCCCTGGCATCAGGGGAGACTCTGGGTTTACATCCATTTTTTACATAGAATCTTGAAAAGTGGCGGGTCACTGGAAACGTGTCAACATGGACTTCCTCATAAATCATTTTACAAAGCAGGAAATATATCCTCGTGATTTGAAAAAGTAGCCAGTCATGTCTGTCTTTTCTTTTTTTTTTTTGCCAGATAGTATTAAAACCAACAGTAAATAAATAATTTATTTAAAAAGTGAGTATGTTAAGACGTTCATTATTGAAATAAATGACACAAGTCACTGGCTCCATCCAGTCAAGCCACTTACAGCACCAACACAGGAGCACGGGCTCATTATTCTCCATCTTCTCTGCCACGTGGATTCTTGGCAATAAGTCTTTTTCCCTCGCAAGGAAATTCGACACCCCCTGGCTTTACTGAGGTGAGATTGACGTGTAACACTTAAGGTGACGACATCTAGCATTTCCTTCAATCCTGGTGACCCTGCCGCGTCTTGGGCATCTTGATGCTGGTGACCCATTGTCTGTCTCGTGGAGGAGCCTGGCAGTGATGACCCTTCTTGGCTTCTTCCTCTGGTCCCTCCCCATGAGGTTAACCCACATTTTCTACCCAAGTGTTCCCTCTGAAGTTTTATGGAGATGAACAGAAAACATACACATTTGCAGCGTAAGGTCTTGATACCCCAAACTGTCCAGCATCTGGGGGTAAACGTGAAGGTGCTCCTGGCTCCAGGTCCCCTCCTCTGTGCTGGCGCGGCCACTCAGGGGGACTTCTGAACTAAGCTGCTGCTGGGATAGCTCCAAGATTTGGGTGGAGATCCTCTGTCCCCCTCTCTCCTCTCCTCTCCTGCTTGCGCTCTCCCCCAAATAAATAAATAAATATATATATAAGTATGTTGTTCTGGGGACGCCTGGGTGGCTCGGTTGGTTAAGAATCTGACTTTGGCTCAGGTCACGATCTCACAGTCCGTGAGTTCGAGCCCCATGTCGGGCTCTGTGCTGACAGCTCAGAGCCTGGAGCCTGTTTCAGATTCTATGTCTCCCCTTCTCTCTGCCCTTCCCCCACTCACACTCTGTCTCCCTCTCTCTCTCAAAAATAAACATAAAAATTATAGGGGCTCAGTCGGTTAAGTGTCAGACTTCGGCTCAGGTCATGATCTCAGGGTTCATGGGTTCGAGCCCCACGTTGGGCTCTGTGATGACAGCTCAGAGCCTGAAGCCTGCTTCAGATTCTGTATGTCCCTCTCTCTCTGACCCTCCCCTGCTCATGCAGTCTCTCTCTCTGTCTCAGAAATAAATAAAACATTAAAAAATTATTTAAAAAATTAAAAAGTATGTCATTCTGAATCAGAATGTGCATATTTTAAAAGTGTTTTAATCATGAACCGAATTTTTTAAAATTCTGAAATCCTTGTGAGTTCATTGCTGATATGGGAAGGGATGCTGGTGGCATACAGAGAGTGTGGCCCTGCCCCCGGGAAGGTCACACAGAAGACTTTGTTCCCGGGGAGGGGTTCAGTGAGAAGCATGCCCACCGGAGACAGTGGGGGACAAAGTGGCACTGGTGAATTCTTCTTGGGGGGGGCAGATCCGGGGCACCTGGGTGGCTAAGTCAGCTGAGTGTCCCACTCTTGATCTTGGTGCAGGTCTGATCTCACGGTTCAGGATTGAGACCCGAGTTGGGCTTTGTGTTGACAGCATGGAGCCTGCTTGGGGTTCTCTCTCTGCCCTTCCCCTGCTCAGGCGTGCTCTCTCTCTTAAAATGAATAAACTTAAAAAATTTTTTTTTAAAAATATTTGTTTACTTATTTTTGAGAGAGAGAGAGAGAGAGAGAGTGTGTGTGCACAAGTAGGGGAGGGGCAGAGAGAGAGACACACAGAAGCCAAAGCAGACTCCAGGCTCGGAGCTGTCAGCACTGAGCCCTATATGAGGGGCTCAACCCCATGAACGGTGAGATCGCGCCCTGAACTGAAGTCTGACGCTTAACCGACTGAGTCACCCAGGCGCCCCATCTAAATAAATAAACTTAAAAAAAAAAAAGGATCCTATGGGCGTCTGCCCTGTTTGCCCCATTTCTGGAGGGCCTGGCTGTGCGGTGGGGCTGTGGGCTTTCTGATCACGATGAGCCGAGGGGGGGTCGGGGGGATCGGGGGCAAGGCTGACTGCAGAGGCCTGTGCCTGGGGGAGGGCAAAGGGGTCCCTGAGTTATGTGCTTGGCTCAACCTTGCTTGCTAAGGCAGGAAAGCAGACCAGGATTGGGGGTGACGCCCTCATGAGGGTGAGGAGACGGCCTTTGGGGACAGGGAGGGGCTGTCCCGTGAGGGACCCATGAGGACCTCTGGGTTCCCAACAGCGCCAACTGCACATCAGTTACAGGACAACTGAGGCTGTGAGGAAAAATCATTGTTTAGAGCCTTCAAGTGTTCACCCACCAGATGACCGAGCAGCGTGTCACCCTGGTCCTGGGCCCCCTGCCCCACCTCCCGGAAGCCGGGCCGGCCTCTGACGCCCAGGACCAGGCTTGGGATGAATGGTTCGTTAAAACCATGCCTTTTTCCCAGAACTGAAGTGAAACCAAAAGGAGAAGTAGTGAGAGGGGCTGCCAGCCCCTGGGGCAGGGCTCAGTGGGGGGCAGGGCGCCCGCCCCTCTCGCCCCCCCCCCATCACCACCCAGAGCAGAGGGAAGCCTGGGCTGGGAGCCGGAGCCCCTTTCAGTGTTCTAGGGGGCTGAGCAGACTCTAGCCTCCCCTCAGATGGGACGGCCCTGGCCCACTGAGCTTGCAAA